CCTGTTGTGGTGGAAAAACAAACCAGTTCAGTTCAAGACTAGAAGTCACCATCCTCCCACAGGACCAACCTCCATTGACTAAAGCGGTCAAATCTGATGTGATTCTTTGTTCGCTTGAGCTCACCGATCTAAGTCTTCAGGTACGCTGTGATCAAGCTGTTGAGCTTTACAGTCTATTTGATATGCTACCTTAGATAGAGGAGGATGGAGTTAGGGTAGTCATTCTACCTAGCAGAAACGGCTAAGAAGGACTGACCTGCGCGGACTACCTTTGCCGACTGAGCCTTTTCGAAGTTAATACTCTTTCGGCTGAGAGGCGAGAGAGTTCCTTTTTGCCCGGATATGTATCCAGCTGATCGGCAGCGTCTCAAGTCTACTAGTATCTAGCTAAACCGGTTAGTGAATACAACCGATGTGCTGTAAATTCTTTGATGTTTGCCACAATTCGAATTCGGATAGATCGGTCACCCACTCGCCCGAAACTTCCCGCGGCGGCCTGCGTGTTGCGTTTACCAACGTCTGCGATTTTATGAGCAAGCGTGATGAGCTGTGTCACTTCCTTGCCTCTGAGCAGTCAGACGTAGTGGGACACATAGACGTAACTGAGTGCTGTGTGGTACTCACCCAGTAAATTGGGCTTTGTGGCTACTCGTGCTTCCGCGCGGTGGCTTCTGACTTTATATCCGGTCCCCTTTAGTAAGAGGCTTGCGAGCACCTACCGAAGCGATGATGGCCCATGTGGACAGTTGTAGTGCTCGATCCACCTCAGACGCAGAAAACTGCACGTTTGTGTTGTTCATTTTAATCCCTTGTAGCGTTACTTGAATTGGCTGCTGCATCTCTGAGACTACATGAGTCGCTTCTAAATTCCATCATTGAAGAATTTCGGTCATCTTCGAATTCAATGGCCAGAAGCTTAATTTAGCCCCGGATATTGTAAGGCCGAAGCAAAGTTCGCTGAAATGGAACTTGAAACTGGGGCAGCACAACACCTCTGCCAGCCAACGCGCATCACACCGCGCTCAACTTCACCATGCTCATGCTTGATGTCAACAGGCTTCGAACATGTGTATGACGTTCAGATATTGGGCCCCGGTGGCAAATGACTACTTATTTCCCGTTACCGTTGCGGTATTCTCACGCACTGGGGCGAGCTCAGAATCGCTGGAAAACGAGCTTCGACAGTTTGACTCGAGCCAGGTCGATTAGTCTCTGCAACAAGCTACATCTGTTGCAACCTGTTGTTCCGTTATCAAGGATGGCGTAATCTCATCACATTAAAGTGCATTCTTGTCGCGCGTAGTCCAGTGAATTGCACCTGTTTTATCATTGCTATTTGGACTCCAGCTGGTTTCACTCGCTTTTTCTACCAAGATTCTTTCATGTTTCGACCGTACCGTATTTCTCTGCAGCCTCGCTAGTTACTTGTAAGTTTTGTCTATTTTTTGTTAAGTGGTCTGGAAACCACTTCCAAACTAAACAAAAACACTCTTTAAGACCAGAATGTTATTAAAGCAAGACAGTCATCAACCTCTCCCAAGTCTCCGAAAAGGATGCTGAAATTGACAAACAAAGTAAACAACCTTTTAATAGTTCCAAGAATTAAACAAAATCACGGAGGGGAGCGAGACAGTAAGAGCCCGCGGCGCGAACATCGCGCAATTTGGTGGACTCCCGAAAGTACACAAAAGTGATGTAACGTGGTGGCCGATCGTTTCACTTCCGGGGACACCCATATACAACCTGGTGCTAGCGTTCTTGAGCTTCCTCTATCATCTGACAAGTGAATCTCAGTACTTCATAAATAATGCCCAACTCAAAGACTTGCGAATGAATAGTGATGTAACAACTATCTCGTCTGCCGCGAGTGCTCTCTTTACATCTGTAAACTTACAGCTGGGAACAGCGGTCATCACAGGACGCCTGAACAAGAGTTAACAACCAATTGGGAACATGGCGACCAAAAATGTTCCTGTCAGCCTACTTCTCTCTCAGTAGGAATACCTACGAACAGTTGAAAGACACCTGTCAGAATTCATCACAGAGAGGGTTGTGCAAAAACTGGACGATGTACTCCCACTCAATCAAACGAAATCGTGGGTCCGCTATCTGCACGACACTTCTGAGAATTGATCATAATCAGATGACAGACGCACAAGGGCTATTGAACAACACCATGGAAAACATCCAGTTTACTATGAAACTGGAGGTTGAAAACCAACAATCTTTCCTTGACATATTATTAAACAGAACTATAGGAGGAGAGTTGCAAACAAAATGAGCACAGATGCGGACCAAACTCCGGGAGTTAACAGCCACCAATTGAAGTGCTACAAATTAAGCTGTGTGCCGACACTATTCCGCAGAGTGCAAACGTACTGCAGTACTACGGAAGCAAGCGAAAAGAAGAGGAGCACCTATTTAAATGTTTCCAACCCAACGGATACTCACAAAGCTTCTTCTGGATGTGTCTGAACCGCAACCACAAACAGTCTACAGGCAAGATAGAGAGATGGGTTGTTTTGCCTTACACGAAATGGTGGCCAGACTGTTCAGACAGCATCATCTCATCGTAGCACACAAACCAACTGCCACATTGAGTAGAACACTGTCAAACCCAGAGCGAAATCCGGAAGCGCATGGGGGATGAACTTTGTATAGAAATTGTGTTGCAGAAATACCGAAAAGGAAGGAACTTGACCACAACGATACGAGGGCACTAGAGAGTATGCGAAAAGGATTATGCATCATCCCCAGTGTGAGCACGTGTGGACGAAGAAGGACTTCGCTGTGCTTGAACCGAAACAGAAGTCTTTCTACGAGACGAAACACAAAGCGGAATGGAGTTCCTAGAAGTTCGGTTCTCTGTGAAGAAGTCAATCAGCATGCATATGGACTCAGTATACCAAGCACTCCGAAAGAATAAATCGGGCGAATTTCACGACGTCGCTTGAACCAGAAGTATCCACAACCCGGATAATTGGCCAAATAATCACCATGGACCCTTAGCCTTGACTCTGTATTCCAAAAGGCCAATGAAACTGTGAGCTTTCCATTACCTCGGAACACCATTCTCGCATTTTCTCAAACTTATTCTAGTGCCATTGAGTACATCGACGAACATCCAATTAGCTTGCAGCGTCGCTAACATCGTCAGTAATGTTTACAAGGACCCAGCATGTTAGCTGGTGGCATCTATTCCTGGTACGATTTTCGCAACCATGCTACAGCATCGATTGTTGCGCAGTGTCCTGCAACCAACATGCTCAGCTCGACGAACACATAAACAACCGAATCCTGATACTGAGTTAACCTGACCCTTAACCGTTGACCAGTATGGTATACTTTGCTCAGAAGGTAGTTGCATTGTGCCACTCATCGTAGCTTAATGAGTCACCGTAGTATGCACACCATCGCGCCACGGTAACATCCGGGTCTGGTTCCTTCCTACTTGTCATGAATTAGTTTAAGCAATATGCCTATTTCCGACGACTTGTTATTCATTTTATCGCTACTTAAATTTTGTTACTGATGTTCTAAATCACGAATAATGCAGTGTTCTCGGCCCAAGGCCAATGGCATCACATATCCAAATACTGTGGGAACATTTTATGTTACGGCTGACCTTCGAACTTTTTCATGAACGCCGTTCATCACTTGACTGAGTGTGATGTTGAGTGACCATCAAACTGTACATATTTGTACTGTAGCATAATGGCATATTAGCACATGCCACCTAAAGCATACCTCGATAGCAAGTAGTACCGTAGACTAACCTCATTTTGACTCGGTGTTATTATTTGCTCGAATGCACTTATATCGGCGCTGAAATTCTCACAGTTGGTTTTTAGTTTCCTTGGTGTTGTCACTATATTGACTGGGGGATTTGTTTTGCTTTCATAGTTGTATCGTGTTATCGTCATTCTTGGTAACGGTTCGAAACAGCGGGTTACCGTTTAAACCATCCCATCCATATGCGTACGTTACCCGCTCTGGCTTGTTTCACAGAGTGAGCTTATGATGTTTTTTTTTAGATGAGTACAGTGAATCTTTGGATTGCAATCATGGGAACCAAATGCTTACAGTAATTGAAATTCCATTTTCTGATAGCTTTATTCTATGTTGCACCGACTCCAGCTCCCACACACTACAGCATTGTCTGACACCAGGGAGGCTTGTTCATTGAGTGAAAGTGTTACTAATTGACCTATGACCGTGTGTGCTTTACTCGGGACAGGTTTTGGAGTGGAGACAATGGGAGACTTAATGTGTGGTGCTTTTTGCCCGAGTGGCTCGCATGAAGACTAAGACACAACGTTATGTTGTTCCTTGGTGGCGGGTAACGTACACAGCTCGTCGCACCGCGTCTAATCTCCTCGTGACTGTTACTTTGCTCTATAGTAAGGGATCTTGTTTGCTGGTTTGGAATCATTTTCAGACACTGGGTACGTCATCGATGACATTGGCTATGATCGTTCTCCAAATTAATGTGCGATTTCGTTTTCCGATTGCTCGTTTATTCATTGACCGATCAGGAGAGTTCACGACAGTCTGTGTGTATCTCTCTCGAGACCACCACACCGCGGTGAGGAGGACACGAGAGAGATACACACAGACTGTGAGTTCTCCTGATCGGTCAATGAATAAACGAGCAATCGGAAAACGAAATCGCACATTAATTTGGAGAACGATCATAGCCAATGTCATCGATGACGTACCCAGTGTCTGAAAATGATTCCAAACCAGCAAACAAGATCCCTTACTATAGAGCAAAGTAACAGTCACGAGGAGATTAGACGCGGTGCGACGAGCTGTGTACGTTACCCGCCACCAAGGAACAACATAACGTTGTGTCTTAGTCTTTATGCGAGCCACTCGGGCAAAAAGCACCACACATTAAGTCTCCCATTGTCTCCACTCCAAAACCTGTCCCGAGTAAAGCACACACGGTCATAGGTCAATTAGTAACACTTTCACTCAATGAACAAGCCTCCCTGGTGTCAGACAATGCTGTAGTGTGTGGGAGCTGGAGTCGGTGCAACATAGAATAAAGCTATCAGAAAATGAATTTCAATTACTGTAAGCATTTGGTTCCCATGATTGCAATCCAAAGATTCACTGTACTCATCTAAAAAAAACATCATAAGCTCACTCTGTGAAACAAGCCAGAGCGGGTAACGTACGCATATGGATGGGATGGTTTAAACGGTAACCGCTGTTTCGACCGTTACCAAGAATGACGATAACACGATACAACTATGAAAGCAAACAAATCCCCCAGTCAATATAGTGACAACACCAAGGAAACTAAAACCAACTGTGAGAATTTCAGCGCCGATATAAGTGCATTCGAGCAAATAATAACACCGAGTCAAAATGAGGTTAGTCTACGGTACTACTTGCTATCGAAGGTATGCTTTAGGTGGCATGTGCTAATATGCATTATGCCACAGTACAAATATGTACAGTTTGATGGTCACTCAACATCACACTCAGTCAAGTGATGAACGGCGTTCATGAAAAAGTTCGAAGGTCAGCCGTAACATAAAATGTTCCCACAGTATTTGGATATGTGATGCCATTGGCCTTGGGCCGAGAACACTGCATTATTCGTGATTTAGAACATCAGTACAAAATTTAGTAGCGATAAAATGAATAACAAGTCGTCGGAAATAGGCATATGCTTAAACTAATTCATGACAAGTAGGAAGGAACCAGACCGGATGTTACCGTGGCGCGATGGTGTGCATACTACGGTGACTCATTAAGCTACGATGAGTGGCACAATGCAACTACCTTCTGAGCAAAGTATACCATACTGGTCAACGGTTAAGGGTCAGGTTAACTCAGTATCAGGATTCGGTTGTTTATGTGTTCGTCGAGCTGAGCATGTTGGTTGCAGACATTGCGCCAACAATCGATGCTGTAGCATGGTTGCGAAAATCGTACCAGGAATAGATGCCACCAGCTAACATGCTGGTCCTTGTAAACATTACTGACGATGTTAGCGACGCTGCAAGCTAATTGGATGTTCGTCGATGTACTCAATGGCACTAGAATAAGTTTGAGAAAATGCGAGAATGGTGTTCCGATGTAATGGAAAGCTCACAGTTTCATTGGCCTTTGGAATACAGAGTCAAGGCTAGAGGTCCATGGTGATTATTTGGCCAATTATCCGGGTTGTGGATACTTCTGGTTCAAGCGACGTCGTGAAATTCGCCCGATTTATTCTTTCGGAGTGCTTGGTATACTGAGTCCATATGCATGCTGATTGACTTCTTCACAGAGAACCGAACTTCTAGGAACTCCATTCCGCTTTGTGTTTCGTCTCGTAGAAAGACTTCTGTTTCGGTTCAAGCACAGCGAAGTCCTTCTTCGTCCACACGTGCTCACACTGGGGATGATGCATAATCCTTTTCGCATACTCTCTAGTGCCCTCGTATCGTTGTGGTCAAGTTCCTTCCTTTTCGGTATTTCTGCAACACAATTTCTATACAAAGCTCATCCCCCATGCGCTTCCGGATTTCGCTCTGGGTTTGACAGTGTTCTACTCAAGGTGGCAGTTGGTTTGTGTGCTACGATGAGATGATGCTGTCTGAACAGTCTGGGCCACCATTTCGTGTAAGGCAAAACAACCCATCTCTCTATCTTGCCTGTAGACTGTTTGTGGTTGCGGTTCAGACACATCCAGAAGAAGCTTTGTGAGTATCCGTTGGGTTGGAAACATTTAAATAGGTGCTCCTCTTCTTTTCGCTTGCTTCCGTAGTACTGCAGTACGTTTGCACTCTGTGGAATAGTGTCGGCACACAGCTTAATTTGTAGCATTTCAATTGGTGGCTGTTAACTCCCGGAGTTTGGTCCGCATCTGTGCTCATTTTGTTTGCAACTCTCCTCCTATAGTTCTGTTTAATAATATGTCAAGGAAAGATTGTTGGTTTTCAACCTCCAGTTTCATAGTAAACTGGATGTTTTCCATGGTGTTGTTCAATAGCCCTTGTGCGTCTGTCATCTGATTATGATCAATTCTCAGAAGTGTCGTGCAGATAGCGGACCCACGATTTCGTTTGATTGAGTGGGAGTACATCGTCCAGTTTTTGCACAACCCTCTCTGTGATGAATTCTGACAGGTGTCTTTCAACTGTTCGTAGGTATTCCTACTGAGAAAGAAGTAGGCTGACAGGAACATTTTTGGTCGCCATGTTCCCAATTGGTTGTTAACTCTTGTTCAGGCGTCCTGTGATGACCGCTGTTCCCAGCTGTAAGTTTACAGATGTAAAGAGAGCACTCGCGGCAGACGAGATAGTTGTTACATCACTATTCATTCGCAAGTCTTTGAGTTGGGCATTATTTATGAAGTACTGAGATTCACTTGTCAGATGATAGAGGAAGCTCAAGAACGCTAGCACCAGGTTGTATATGGGTGTCCCCGGAAGTGAAACGATCGGCCACCACGTTACATCACTTTTGTGTACTTTCGGGAGTCCACCAAATTGCGCGATGTTCGCGCCGCGGGCTCTTACTGTCTCGCTCCCCTCCGTGATTTTGTTTAATTCTTGGAACTATTAAAAGGTTGTTTACTTTGTTTGTCAATTTCAGCATCCTTTTCGGAGACTTGGGAGAGGTTGATGACTGTCTTGCTTTAATAACATTCTGGTCTTAAAGAGTGTTTTTGTTTAGTTTGGAAGTGGTTTCCAGACCACTTAACAAAAAATACACAAAACTTACAAGTAACTAGCGAGGCTGCAGAGAAATACGGTACGGTCGAAACATGAAAGAATCTTGGTAGAAAAAGCGAGTGAAACCAGCTGGAGTCCAAATAGCAATGATAAAACAGGTGCAATTCACTGGACTACGTGCGACAAGAATGCACTTTAATGTGATGAGATTACGCCATCCTTGATAACGGAACAACAGGTTGCAACAGATGTAGCTTGTTGCAGAGACTAATCGACCTGGCTCGAGTCAAACTGTCGAAGCTCGTTTTCCAGCAATTCTGAGCTCGCCCCAGTGCGTGAGAATACCGCAACGGTAACGGGAAATAAGTAGTCATTTGCCACCGGGGCCCAATATCTGAACGTCATACACATGTTCGAAGCCTGTTGACATCAAGCATGAGCATGGTGAAGTTGAGCGCGGTGTGATGCGCGTTGGCTGGCAGAGGTGTTGTGCTGCCCCAGTTTCAAGTTCCATTTCAGCGAACTTTGCTTCGGCCTTACAATATCCGGGGCTAAATTAAGCTTCTGGCCATTGAATTCGAAGATGACCGAAATTCTTCAATGATGGAATTTAGAAGCGACTCATGTAGTCTCAGAGATGCAGCAGCCAATTCAAGTAACGCTACAAGGGATTAAAATGAACAACACAAACGTGCAGTTTTCTGCGTCTGAGGTGGATCGAGCACTACAACTGTCCACATGGGCCATCATCGCTTCGGTAGGTGCTCGCAAGCCTCTTACTAAAGGGGACCGGATATAAAGTCAGAAGCCACCGCGCGGAAGCACGAGTAGCCACAAAGCCCAATTTACTGGGTGAGTACCACACAGCACTCAGTTACGTCTATGTGTCCCACTACGTCTGACTGCTCAGAGGCAAGGAAGTGACACAGCTCATCACGCTTGCTCATAAAATCGCAGACGTTGGTAAACGCAACACGCAGGCCGCCGCGGGAAGTTTCGGGCGAGTGGGTGACCGATCTATCCGAATTCGAATTGTGGCAAACATCAAAGAATTTACAGCACATCGGTTGTATTCACTAACCGGTTTAGCTAGATACTGGTAGACTTGAGACGCTGCCGATCAGCTGGATACATATCCGGGCAAAAATGAACTCTCTCGCTTCTCAGCCGAAAGAGTACTAACTTCGAAAAGGCTTAGTCGGCAAAGATAATCCGCGCAGGTACGCCCTTCTTAGTCGTTTCTGCTAGGTAGAATGACTGCCATCACTCCGTCCTCATCTATCTAAGGTAGCATATCAAATAGACTGTAAAGCTCAACAGCTTGATCACAGCGTACCTGAAGACTTAGATCGGTGGGCTCAAGCGAACAAAGAATCACATCAGATTTGACCGCTTTAGTCAATGGAGGTTGGTCCTGTGGGAGGATGGTGACTTCTAGTCTTGAACTGAACTGGTTTGTCTTTCCACCACAACAGGAAGCTTCTCTTCATTTCGCGACTTCTTCCATCTTCAAGCTTTTTATGGCTCTTAGGCCACCGGACATCGATCACGGGTCTTTAGAGCAAGCATAACATAACAATAGTAGGCAATAAGCATAAGCTAGTGCCGTGCTTCCAAACATGGGACACCGAGACAAAGACCTGCCAGCGAAAGGGAATGGATGCTGGGTTGAACAAAGGATGGAATCTGGACCAATATGTGTGACCATGTGTCTAGAGTTGAACGCAGTTGAACGTTTGTGTTCACCCATCCGTGGCCGAAAAAATCACAATCCTAATTTGTAATCCCAAAGTCGCGGCCTCGAGGCTGCGTAAGGGACCGGATGAACATCTCAGTATCTTTAACCCACGCACGACAGGTGGCGGATGCTTGGCAGTGAAGCGTCGAACAGGAACCACAAGGTGAACGCTTGGGCATTTTAGAAAGTGGCGTAAATTGCAAGATTGTAAAGGAAAACCCTGAAAACTACGAAAGTTATTACAAAAATACAATCCAAAAGATCTTGAATCACATATGAAACTGAATGATGCAGGAAATTTCATGAAATAACTTTAATGCTCCGGGAAATCCACTAAGAATACTGACAACACAGCCACGCGAGGAGCAACCGGAAGCCGCTAAACACAATCGAACGTAGATAGAATATGGAGTAAATTAGTTACAGATGCGAACAAGGTAAACCAGGGGTTAATGAGTTCGTGCACACACACAACTGGTGTGGTTGAGAAGCTGGTGCTCAAATCATAGGAGCACGGTCCATATCAATAAAGTGGCAAACAGCGCGTCTGCTCAGCTAGACAAAATGATAAGCTTCCTGAGGATCATTCCAAGTTCACGTCAACCAACGCTATCGCAGGTGACGCGATGGTTTCAGTAGCTGACCCATTGAGACTGAATAATGGGTACGAAGGCAACGCATCCCATTGGAGAGTTCCACAGAAATAGACAGCCA